GTGGTTTTTTTTTTTTTTTTTTTTTTTTTTTTAATGTTTGGCTGCTTGGGGCAGCCAAAACCCTGGAGCCGGCCCTGCATGAAGCCCACAGTAATTGCCATCCAGTCCTTTGTACAGAATATGTAATTGTATTACCACATATATGTTTAGTGATTTCTTGTTATATAGTAGCCAGAACAGTCGATTTAATGTATGAAAATCAGAATTGCTTAACTTACCCATCTGAATTTTTGTTGGCAGTTTCATTTTTTGAAAGCAGGAACTAACATCTAAAGTATCCCTTTTGGTCAATTATGTCCCTTTCCTAAGGTGTGCATCCTCAGTGGCAATACTATGAAGTTTCAGACATATAAACCATGCACAGAAAACAAGATTAGCATTTGCCTAATTTCCATGAGAGCGGCATGCAGTTCACCCTAGATATGGCAGTTACATAGAACAAAATGAGCTACATACAGTCAGATCCCAAACCTGAAAAATCTTAAACAAAGAACTAACTGACTTCAGATGGATTACTTGTGTGCTTAAAATTAGGCACATGCATAAATGTCTGCAGGATTGTTACCGAAATAAGGGTTATGACAACGCCTTTTGGCTTTTAACAAAAATCAAAGAAAGGGTTATAATAACAGCTCCTCATCAACACCTTGAGAAAGGACATGTAATACCTATATCATAAAAGGGTTTGACAGTGCTTCATGAGAAGACAAATGCTAGTGCTTGCCAACATCCACAAGAAAGGACATGTGCCAGTGCCTGTCCATCATCTAAGAGATGTTGCTACTAGCATATACAAACTACTGTGGATTACAGAGAACTATATCATTCAGCTTACATATAATTTTTAAAGTTTATTTTCAAATACCAATTCCAGTTAAGTGGATTATGTGTGAAACTAAATTTACTTTAAATACTGCCCAAGCGTTTAAATACTTGTGTCTTTGCTGCAGCGGTATTTCAGTTTGAATGTTTGCTTCATTCTGGATCACTGGGGCATATAAGAATAGAATGGAAGTGCATAAATACATTTACCTACTTAACCCCAAAACTACTTCAAAATCACCCAGATGAGTAAATATACAAAGGAAGTCTGGGGGCAGTCCCTGAGGAGCAATATACATACCTGATCAAAAAATGGTTGATTATAGTGTCGAAATAGCTGTAGTAGACAGCATTGTTCACATGTCCATACTGATTGTTGTCCTGCCATCTTGTCTGTATTGGTAAAAAGTAAGCATATGTAGCACGTTGTCTGTAATGGTCCTCAGTGCTTGATTTTGCTGAAGAGGTAGCCATGTAACAGATATTACCATGCACCAGAAATCTCTGTGCAAGTTTCATTGTTTTGAATCACACCAGAAAAATTCTAATTTAAAAAAAAAAAGAAAAGAAAAAAAAAAGAGAAAAATATGTTACCTTGGGACTATATTTATAAAACCAAACAACACATTTCTGAATCAAAAGGGCCTCTGCTTGATGGACAAATATATTGGAGTTTCATTTCTTAGCTGCTTGTTAGTTTTCTGAGGCCACAAAAAGCTGTGCTTGCCATAGCAAGGGGAAAGCCAAAGGTTTCATAACTTTAGCTTGGTTAAATAAACCAATCAGAGACTCTTTCATCTAGAAATTGGGTGAAAATCCCTAGTTAAAAACAACAAATGGGGGGGGGGGGAATCTCCCCCCCTAAAAAGCACACTACCACATTATTAATTTATATATATTAATGGGGTGCCTATAGGTCTCAGTTATAATAAAGACACCACTGTGCCAATTAAGCTTCAATGTCAGGTATATAAAAAGCTTTAGGAACAGAGCTACATATTAATTAAAAAACAACACTACTCTCCTGTCATGATTCAGCCTGTACTGCTGTCAGGACATTCAGAAAACAAGCATACTAATTGCCAGAAGCTCTCAAGTTTATGTCTCCTGCACCTATATTGCCCACAAGGCAAACAATTTCCTCTGACCCCATGTACTCATTTATACACTGTTTTCATTATTGTGTTATTCAGTCCCTCTCTTGTTCCAACAGAGGTTGGGACAATGTTCATTTTATCACCTTCGTTTCCCGCATCCCATATGGGACATGACTTTTGTATACAACTGTAGAAGCATATAGACAGATCACAAAAAGGGTCAATGATTCATTCAGCCTTAAAGTACATCTTATTTAAAATAAAAATCTCAGTTTCTACAAATGTACTGGATGTTCATAACCCTACTCTTTTATACAGTCTGCTCACTCCTCTCTCCTGCTTGCTCCCCGGTCTTCTTCACCTACTCCTAGCTTTTTGTGCCGTCTTCCATTCTGCCCTTTAATTTTGGAATATACATCCAAACAATATAAACCAAATGTCCTCCCCCCACTTCTCCTCTTCTTCCTTAAAAATTCCCCTAAAAACCCATCTGTTCCACAAAACATTCCACTAACCGTTCAGTGATTGCTCTGTACCATCACTCATGCTTTTTTAGTTTTGACGAACTTCAAGGCCAACGTTCCTTTCTTTGTTTCTCAAGTTTACCTATTGTAAAGTAATATGCATGCTTACAGACCAACACATGAAAATCGGTTGTGATGAAAGTTCCAAGACACAAATCAAACATGAATTGGGTCATGGAGGGAAGTCAGACTCAAACTCAGACTGATTTGGGGCATATTTCAGGTTTGAGTTGAATATTTCACATCCATTTAATTCAAGCCAACCCAGAGGGGAGTTGCAAGTTTATCAGAGATGAGCCCAAACCAAAACTGTAGATCTAAATAACCATGAACTTTGAAAAAGTTCAAATCCAGATGGTACTATGTGTTCCAGCTCCATTGCTGCAGTATATATGATTTCCTCATAAGGATGTTTATAATACAGAATGTTCCAAAACACGTAACCTTGTCCTGATACAAGGACAGAATTTTATTTTATTTTATTTCTTTGCACTTAAAATAGACCTAATAAGAGTCTTGGGCACCAAGTGGGATTTAAAACAAGGCAATATTTAAAAGTTAGCATCTCCTCATAACCATTTTAAAGCAATTTGCATCCATCATTTGTTCTTACTGGTTACATATATGCTAATGTCCACCCATATAAACATATTCACAGTATTAAAAAAAGAAAACCTGCATGAGTCTGAAGAGTGTAGGCAGTTTTGACAGACACATGATCAAAAGGTAGGGAACTATTTAATAAAAAGTAGCTAAAAAGAATTGTCTTGGTAGGAGCTGTTGCACTGTAACGCTCTATACTAACAGTTTGATCTTTGATGGACATATCTTTCCTCCATTAGATCTCTGCTGTATGGTTTTCACAAGAATAGAAATAGCACACAAAAACAGAAATCTCTGGCTTTACTCTTTTACCTCTGCTGGGAAAGTGAGAGCTTATGGTCAATTTTACAATAGGAGACAGTGTTAGCAAGAAAACAGAAATGTCATGAAGCTATGAAAACATGCTTATTTTGGTAAATGTATACATAAGCTGATATATAATAATACATTTTAAGTGTGTTTTCCTTTGACCTAATTTAATGAAAAAGTGTTCATCTTTTTGATAGGTGATAATTAGTCATTTTTCTGTCATAAACAGACAAGGAAGATGTAACTGTGCAGTATTTAACTGAGCTGTGCAATCACAGTGCAACGACTCAAAGCACAAAACCAGTGTACTGAAGTTTCCCAACTGTATTGTTCTATATGTCAATTAAAATATAGCCTGTAATGTACCTAAACTTTTAATTCAGCATCATCTAAGTCAGCGGTTCTCAACCAGGGGTATACATACCCCTTGGAGTACACAGAGGTCTTCCAGGGGTACATCAACTCATCTAGATATTTGTCTAGTTTTGCAACAGGATACATGAAAAGCACTAGCAAAGTCAGTACAAAATAAAATTTCATACAATGACTTGTTTATATTGCTCTATATACACTATACACTGAAATGTAAGTACAATATTTATATTCCAATCAATTTATGTTATAATTATATGGTAAAAATTAGAAAGTAAGCAATTTTTCAGTAATAGTGTGCTGTGACACATTTGTATTTTTATATCTGATTTTGTAACTAGTTTTTAAGTGAGATTAAACTTGGGGTACACGAGACTAATCAAACTCCTGAAAGGGGTACAGTAGTCTGGGAAGGCTGAGAACCACTGGTCTAAGTAAATATGGTTTAAACTCAGTAAGTTAACTTTAAACTTATGAGTACTTTCACTGAAGTCACGCACTTTAAATTACAAACATATGCTTAAGTACGTTACTGAATGGGGCCTACATGTTTAATCTAGCAATCAATTTGTAGGTAGATCTGTGGCTGTATTATTCTCCTGGTTCGTGGTTGTTAAAATAATTAATTATTGGTTCAATATATATTATTTTAAATGTAATGAACTGTTTAAATAACATGAACTGAGGGAATACCCTTTCCCTCAACTCTTCAAGTTTGTTAATAAAATCTGTAAATTCAAAATAAGTAGGAATTTTACACAGCATTTCTCCACATCAAGAAACGTGTTTTGTAGAGTAAATGAATATGAATGCTATATAATATTCATCATGGAAAAAAAGGCTGTGAAGAATGCTATCTGTATTAATGCTATCTGTATTAATTTGATAAATATTGTGTGAAACTAATCATAAGTATTGTAGTCTGGCTGGCTCTATGGAACCCAAAGGGTTAATTACAGGGTGGTGCTCTACCTAGGTTTCCAGGAACCTACGAATGATTCTAATTCAACAGCCTGGTTCTCAAGTGCTCAGTATAGTGAATCCACTTTTGGAAGATTATCTCCAATTCCTTTTGTAGAAATGCATAAACCAGTTTGGTTAAATTCAAGAGCCCTGCTCAAAATCTCAGGAGATCTTTGGGTGGGAACTTTTGGACAAAGGAACTTTGAAGTGGATAAAGGACAGCCTGCAACCTGAAGGACATGCACACTGACTCTGGGTCAGACTGTCAGAGAATGGCAGCAATTGCTGAGGTGCAGCCTGCCTCACCCAGAATGTTGTACAATATCACAGCACTGAGATATATTTACAGTGCAAACAACAATAAGTTTATCATCAGAGGGTCAAGATTCAAGAGACAGTGAGAAAGGATAACGGAAACAACAGGGTTACATATAAAACAAAATCATAACACACCTTCTAGAGATTAAACTTAACTTCTTCTGTCAAAAGAAGTTTATCCCACTCCAAATGTCCTTTGCAACTTCTCAACCAGGGCAGGTTGTGCATCCATTTTCATAAATGTAATCATACTGCCCAATTACTTTCTAAATGCAGGATAAAGGGGTGTCTTCCTTGCTTTCTCCTTATATCCTCCAAAGTTCATTGTTTGTACTCAGGGTCAGGATAACCCTGTACCTTATTCTTCAGTGTGCTGCCTCCCTGTGGACTTCAAAACCCCATCCGTTGATGCTGTATGAAAATGAGGCTTCCATTGTATTGGCTTACAATGCTTAATTTACAGAGAGATAGGTGAATAAACATATTTTGTTTGGCAGAAAACCTGTCAACTCTACCTTGATACAGACTTTAGGAAATACATTTCACAACAATATTAACGGCCAGCATAAACCTGGCTTTCATTTAAGACCTCACATGATATTTTCTGGTGAACCAGAATATACATACAAAGATCAGATACTCTTGTAACCCCGGCCCCTTGCCAGTTGGCATTGAGGAGTTCTTAGGGCCACATCCACACCTACTTATAAATATATAAATTGAACATTATATATGGGACAAAAAAAAAGTGGAGATATGTAGTAGATTAGCCTTTCGCCCATCACCCAATCCTTCTATTCTGAGTTTCAAAATCAGAAAAAGAACATGTAAAGAGAATGACTTTTTTAGAGCCCAGTGGACATATATTGAGATTGTGCTTTTAGACATTTCTATTGCACATGTCACTGTGATGTCTAGATGTCACAAATTGACAGATTTTGCTCAGAAGAGTTCTAGGAGGACCTGAATAATTAATAGTGTTACAGATTTGCATTGAGGAACATTGAGAGCCTCTGTGGGAAAGACCTGCTCATTCAATGACCACATCTGGGCATTCACTTTCATGAATGCTAAATATGCATGAAAAATTTCAAAGAATAAAATAGGCAAAAGAAAACTTGAGAGAATTTAGAAATAACCAATGCTGGGTTAGGGCTTGTTAGCAGGCAGCTAGCAAACCATCGGCAGAATTCTCTCGGATTCACACAGATTATCTCAGGTTCATTGCTACTCTCACTTACACCTGTGTAACCCCCATTTAAAATAATGGAGTTGCACAGGTACTATTAAGAGCAAAATTGAGGTATTTGATATTTTGCTCTCTATACACTCAGAAAGTCCTTGGCAATACTGATGGAAACTCTGCACATGTAAGAAGAACAGAACACTGGAGTTAAGATTCACCATGTAGAACTGATAGAATTTTGCCCAAAGTTATTACCCTATTTCCACATATTAATGCAAAATGACACTCCTAGAAAAAATTAATTTCGTTATTTACTGCTTAACCACTATAGTCTCATTGCTCCTAAAATAGGCAAGATTCATTCTGAGGACACAGAACAACATGCAGCAAGCAGGTCAAGTATCTCTACTAACTTTCTGCCTTTTTTCCCTCCAGTTTTACTAGTTTGTACTAATTTACAGAGGTTTAATGTTATATTTTTCCTACCATAAAACATACCCCGAGATCCATATCTAATTTTCAAATCCTCTCTTAATTTAAGAGTAAAAAACAGCACATTTGTTTAAAGGCAAAAATAAAACATTTGCATTTCACTTCAAGAATATCCAATCTCCTCTTAAATTGAGATGCCAGAGCAACTAGATTGCGGTTTAAATCAGATAGCAAAATTAGTCCAGGTATAAGACAGTGGAGAGAATGTGGTAAATAGCTTATGAATTCAACTGCAGACTAAGGATCCCTTGTGGTTTCTCAGTTCCAACCAATTAGATAGATAAATGGTAGTTCACCTACTACACATCGGTAAACAAACATTTTTCAGCAAAAGCCTCTCCTATGCATTAAGCTGGGCCAGTTTAAAATACTATCAAGAGCTGTGGTGCAGTGATGTGTCTTAGAGTTAGAGTTCAGAATAATCCTTGGCAGGGCACTAATGAAAAAACAACTAATTCTGACAATTTACCATAGTAACTGAAGCATTCATATTATTAATGTCAGCATGATTTAAAACTGAAAGCACAACCTTAGCGACACACAGTAACCTACAATGGAAGCAAAACTATTTTATTTTCCGAAGCTTACCAGTATTTATGTTTTGAGTTAAACATTGAAATTTGTAAACCAAGGCTGATCTGATCCAAAAGCCAATGCAGAGGAAACAATCCACGCTACAGAGACACCAACTATCATCCCAAAAAGTGCCTTTTCTGTTTACTTTGTAAAGCACATGTTTTTGGGACTAAATCCTTCATGCCTTATTTTGAGCAAAATACCCATAGACTTCATTAGCAGTTTTGCCTGGTTAAAGTTTCAGTAAGGAAGGCAAAATGTGG